GGCCCGTCTATCACCAACATAGGCCAATCAGCTAACCAGTATTTTCACCCCTTCCCAAAATTACTTCAACGGAAGGTTTCCAGATGGAGCAAATCCATCTGGTGGAGTCAGGTTAGAAATGCCCCCAGCTACACTGAAATACTGACCAGTACTCTAATGCTACATTCAGACGGCTAGCAGCAGAAGCAGCTGGTTTCCATTAGAAGTCAATGGTTGACGCGCATCAAGGAGCAGCTAAAGGTCCTGCAGCACGTTTGAGGAACAGGTGCAGCGCCTCATGAGCTTCTCTGCATCTGAGGCGTGAGACGCACTGTGAAAGCAGAAGCTGCTGCAGTTGGAAAAATTAAATTTTAGCTGCTGGATGCGCCTCATCAACCAATGAGAGAAGCTGATCTGGGAGCTGGCAGGGAGTCAGACGCAGCACTGCTGATGCAGAGCGCTATGATCACTCCTCTGAAACTGTTTATTAACGCCTAAATTAACTTGGATGCAGTTTGGATTACGTACGTGAAAAACGCTAACATCTACTTCCAGCCGCCACCAACAGGAGGGGAAAAATGATCATATGATCGTGATTTCTGTGCCTAGAAGTTTCTAAAATATGACAATATTTCTAGTTCTCTGTTAGAACCTGTTCAGGGTTCTAGGTTCTGGACTGTTCATATAAATTCTCTACTCAGTCGTGTAATAAAAAGGCTGCCTTTATTTTTACACATGAGAGGAACAAGTCTGCACTTAATAGAAAACCACCAGGGGGAGCTCTAACCTTACAAATACACACAGCAGGGATGAAAACTTTCAGGTTTTTTCTTTGTTTCTGATCAGTGCCAACAGCCCAAATAATTCACACATGCATAGAAATCACAGCTGGTTACAGATAAATGAATGAGAATAATAGCTGAACTTAGAGAAATGTGTTCAATACTTTTTGAAAAATCTATTTAACCTTTACTACCTGCAGCTGAGCTGACCTTTAACACGCCAACATTTCAGCTTTTCTTCCAAAGCAGGATCCATTTAGTTGCAATTAGATTGTTTTTCTCTGAGTTGCTCCATGGCAGCCGGCGGTCGGATCAGAGACCGGCCGTCTGCCGATCCACACGCTAAAAGTCATCCTGGGTTTTTCCTTTCAGGCTCTGCAGCGAAGGGGTGGAGCTGCTGTCAAAGTTCCTGCAGGTCAGTGAACGCATCGCTGTGTTTCTATGGAATAACTCTGAACGCAGCTCTGATGAGAATCTCTTCATTTTAACTTTAGTTTGAAGGGAAGAAGAGGATCTCTGCAGACGTGTCCATGAAACATGCTTACTTTAGTAACCTTGGAAACCGACTGCTGTCGCTTCCTGACAGTAAGTAGCTTTCAGGTGTCTTTGCCTGTTATCACGACCATCTCACATGGTTCTTCTCAACCTTTCAGCTTCGTCCATCTTTAGTCTGTCAGAGATTCAACTGGAAAAGGAACGCTTGAGGCCGACGGCGGCGCCTGATCCAGGTAACTGAACCTGTGAGCGATCCTGGATGCCATTTAAACTAAACACTAACCAGTAGGTGGCAGTAGTGTTCTTTGACAAACATGGATGCCTCCAGTAAAGCACATTCAC